GGTTACAGAAATGATTTGAATACGGGCGTCTTAGAGTTGACTTATTATTGACGTATAGCATCCTCAACACTTTTGAGCATCCCCTTAAACACCTACTTATGTTCAGTCCCACCACAAGCCTTAGGGGTAACACCCAGAATCCGGAGACACAACACACCAGAACGGACCGAAGACAAACCTTCTACTTCTTAAGAGTAGTAAAATTCTGGAATTCGCCACTGATTGAGCCAGTCTGAGCGACCTCACAAGAGTCTTTTAAGACAAAACTTGACATATTCTTAAGGACCAAGGACAGTATCTAACTATGAGCTACTGATTTTTTTCTTTTTTCCCTGTTACTGTTAATATACCTGGGTTCTTACTTATAGGTATCGGTGATCTCCTGCCACCAGCTACGGAAGCCCGTTAATCGAAAGCTTCTTTTATTCCGTCCAGAACTAGACAAACAAGGGCGCGCAACGAAAACAAGAATAAGGATGTCGACAGATCTACCATCGATAGAGCGTGCATTAACACTTATGATGACATGTTGAAACTCAGCACCATCATTACGTCGACGGCTATCGACCCCCTCAGTAAATTCGGGTCTCCCGGCACAGGGTTCTTGAATGCAGCAGTGGTTCCCAAAAATTCCGTAGGTGATTGGATCCACGTCAACAGAGCTAAAAAGAACCAGGCGTCACCGCCTAAGCTGAACATACCAAGTGTTGTACGGAAGTCAACTGGTGATTTGGTTGCACAGTCTACTCCCAAGAATGTCCGTTCGGTCATCAAAGAGCCTAGCAATCAGAAACGTGCTTCGACCTCCAAACAACAAGGCGCTGGACCTGATTGCACCGGAAAACCTGAGAAAACAATGACGTTTCGTGATGACTCCCACATAATCATGAACCTCAGAAACAACCCTGGCCTTCCTCTCAGTCTGCAGGACAAAAATGACAGGATGCTCTGGGGTGAATTGAACAAGAAACTTAAACTTCCTAGAACAGAGCCTTTGACATTCACACGACTCACTCGGAGAAAGGAATCTAAGCATCGAAATCGCCCGAGGCTACTTCGTGTAACACTTATGAATGCTACCGACTTAGAGGATGTCCTGCTAGCTAGTCATTTACTGAAATCCTATGGGAACGTAAGAATACTGCCCGACATACCGTATTCTGAGCGCAATCTCATCCGGAACATCCCTAAAGAATCTCGCGAGAAGTCTTTCCGCGGAAGAAATATAATTGTGCAAGGTGTACTGGAAAACACGGACCCTAGTCAGGCAAACTCTGATATTAGAGAATGGAAATTCATCAAACAGTCCTTGAGGCTCAGAAACATACTGACTGAACATGCAACGAGTCTGGCGAAGAGGGACGGTGATTCTAGACCCCAGCTAATGAGGATAACTTTTCCATCCTCCCATATGGTGGCTGCCACTCTGGAAGCATTTCGTACCAACAGACTTCGGTTGCCAGCTGGAATCCACATGCACACGGACAGGCCACATGAAGCCAGAACCAAGCACAAAGGTAATTCGGAGCTTATCATTTCACTTTTGAACTGTCTTGATGATAAACAAAAACATGTAAAGTACGGGGCCTACGAACTCGGCGAATTTTATATAGGTAGGCTACCTGTCCATTCACGTAAGGCTCACACAGATAAACAGGAAGTAGCTCAGGCGTTTCAAATTGAAAGCATAAACTGCTTATACATGGACGCTGCGAGTCCACCAAACAAATTGGATGAACTACGTGAATTTAGCAATGCTAATAAGGCCCATCTCATAGAAATATCTGAGTCCTGGATATCTTCTCAGTTCTCGGACCAGGAGTTAGCAATACCTGGTATGTTCTTGTTTCGTAAAGACGGAAAAACAGGAATTAGGGGTGGAGTAGCCATATACATACGATCCTGCTTGGAGGCAAACCAAGTTCATAACCTCCAGTTTAACAATCCTGAGGAATCAATATGGTGCTCTGTAAGATTGTCTACTACTCCGAGGTGCCTAGCCGGGGTCATACATAGGAAGCCCACTGCCGAGATCGAGTGTGACAGTCGTATGCTGGAGGGACTATCCCACTCTACGCGTCTCGGTTTCACTCATATCCTGATTCTAGGGGACTTCAATCTCCTTAGAGTCAGTTTCGCGGAACATACGTATATTGGGGATGAAAACTCAACTGAAGCTTGGTTGTTCAATCTCATTGAGGATTTGAGACTACACGAAAATGCGAAGTCGGCAACTCGTCGGAGAAACAGTCAGACAACGTCGCGCTTAGACTGTGTATTTACAAACGAAGAATTTCTGGTTGACAACCTCTCAATCCTGGCTACCCTGGGGAAAAGCGAACACCCCGTTATAGCCTTCAGCTTCGTCAGTAAAACTGGGGTAAAATATCTCACCAATAACAGGCGCTGGAATTTCAAACGGTTGAATGTGTCAGCTTTACAGGACTATCTACAGCAGGTGGATTGAGATTTTCAGCCTCAACTTGATATGGATGCTCATTGGGACTTCTTACTGCACACGCTCTTATGTGCTACAAAGCAGCCAGTTCCTTAAACGGTCCCCAATAGCTACAAGCAACCTACAATCATCAAGAACCGCACTCTTTGCCTGCTAAGTCGCAAAAGGTACTGTTGGGCAGAGTACAAACGAACTGACAACAACAGAGCGTACAGGCAATACAAGCATATAAGGAACATATGCACGAAGGCTGTAGGAGTTGACAGGCTTCACTACGACACAAAGCTTATGGGTAACTTTGTCTCCAATCCGAAAAGTTTATTCCGTTATACAGCCTCTCTTCGTCAAGCCAAAACGGGAGTTTCCCAGCTGCCAGGTCCTAATGGCTCGACCAATAACGACAGTGACGCCGCTAACCTTTTGGCTGAATAATACTCTCGGACATTTAAACCGGCCCACATTAACTATGCTGATGACCGCTTCATCTGCAACTGCACAGGTCTATCCGTAGTAAACCTGAGCGCTGACCTGGTGTTCCGGAAACTCAGGCACCTAAGAAAAGACACCTTTCCTGGCCCAGATATGATTCATTCTGCTATACTGAGGGAAGCAGCTTCAATCCTGGCAACATCGCCTAGCGTGATGTTCTAACACTTGCTAAGTCAAGGTAAACTCCAGCTCTTTCTGACGTTTAAATTACATCATACATAACTGACTGATTTCAATTAATATATTCTTTATTACCATTTATCTATTTTCCTGAGCTCTAATCACTACCTCAATGTTCCGGAACTTTCCCACTCGAACTTTATTTATTCGAGACAAGATTTTATGACCTCATTAACTCTATCGGAATCTTCGCTACACCATGATACATTTATTCATCTTTAATCACCCTCTTATGTATAATTATCTCAATATCTGTAATAATGTCGAATTTCAAATATTTTAGGTTGTAAGCAGCTGATGAGAACCTAAGGAAATAAAATGAATTCATATTAATCTGTACGAATATTTGTTCTTGCTCTCTTTAAGATATTAATGGGAACTATGTGTAGGAAATTCGGAAGATGGCTCACAGCACACCAATTTTCAATGGAGGCCGACGCAGCGAACCTTCAAGTTACCGACCGGTGGCTGTTCTCTCTATACCTTAAAAAATCATGAAGTCCCTGATATACAATGGTATATCTGACTATTTACTGTCCTTGACTTTCTTCTCACTCCAACAGCATGATTTCAGGAAGGGTTACTCTTGTATAACCAACCTGCTGACTGCGGTGGACAGATGGACAAGTATCCTCGATCGCAAGGAGAAGGTTGATATCATTTGCCTTGATTTCTCAAAAGCTTTTGATAGGGTTAACCGTATATCTCTTATCAATAAGCTCAAGCGATTGGGTATCATACCACCTCTAATCGATTGGCTCATTTCATATCTGAAAAATCGACATTTAAAGGTCAGGGTCAACTTTACTTTATCTCAGGCTATGCAATATCCTAGTGAGATCCCCAAAGGCTCAGTAATTGGATCTCTTCTCTTCTTGATTTATATAGATGATCTTCCTCAACAGGCAACGTCAGACTTATTACTTTTTGCTGATGACGTGAAACTTTGGGGAGAGATACGCAACCAAGACGATATACAGGCACTTCAGGAGGATGTGACTCGACTTCAAAGTTGGGCAGACGATAACGAACTTACCTTTAACACTTCAAAGTGTAAAGTAGTCCATCTGTGACATGTCGCGGACTATGGTTACAACATAGGGGACTCCCCTGTAATAGCATCCCGAGTCGAAAAAGATTTAGGAGTCCTAGTGCCCTACGATTTAAAGTCGTACGCTAACTGTGACGAAAATGCCTTTCGAGAAAACCTTGCACTGGTAACATTGAAGCTCATCTTTCACCAGTTTGACGGAAAAACTGTTCATATAGTTTTTAACAGTTTTATCCGTCCCCATAGTATTTCCTCCCTCACTCCAAAAGGATAAGGAAATTCTGGGGCGTATCCAACGGCGAGCCACGAAGTCAGTTCGGGGACTCAAATTTAAACTTTATGTGTAGCGTCTCCAATCACCTAAGCTTTACCCATCAAAGTATAGGCGTCTTAAAGGTGACCTTCTGATGGCTTACAGTATCCTTAACACTTCTGGACATCCTCTTAAATACCTACTTAAGCTTAGTCCCGATACCAAACTACGGGGTTACACCCAGTAATTGAAGACTCAACAAAGCAGGAAGGACTGTAGACACAACTTCTACTCATTAAGAGTGGTCAAATGTTGGAATTTGCCGCCGGCGGAGCTAGTCCAAGCGACTTCCCAGGAGTCCTTTAAGAGGCAACTTGATCTATTCTTAAGGTCTAAGGATAGTATCATAATATGATTTACCAATTTCTTTTCACTCCTTCATCGTTAACATACCTTGGTTCCTGCCTGGAGTTATTCGTGGTCCACTGCTACTAGACACGGAAGTCTGTTAAGCGAAAGCTTCTTCTATTCCGTCCACAACCATCTGAACCATTTGAACCATTTGAAATACTTGAACCATTTTGAACGTGGACGGTACTTTTTAGAATGACAGACTATTTCAATTTGCTTCCCTCTGAAATATCAGGACTTGTCCTCGGTTAGCAACATTTTTAAGAGTTTATTTCGTAGGATTTTTGCGAGATAGCAATTGCGTTATCGCTGCTGGTGCTTTCCTTCGAGAAAACGTCCACTTATCTGAATTTCGTTATCACTATGCATCAGTGAATGAGATACCTTTGTATTTCAGAGAATTAACTTTGCTGGATATTATTCATGATTATATTCATATTGTGAATGAAGGTAAGCCAACGTTTTGTGTGGTCGACAATGATGGTGTTTATTCATTAACTTGAATTCTAATTAATGTAGGGTAAGAGGTGTGACAGCTCTAAGGTTGTCATAACCCAACAGATTTCAGACAAAGTGTGTCAGCCTGTATATTCGTTCATGCCACCTTTTTTCTGGTTATTTTGACAGGTGGATTAAAATCGTAAGTATTCTCTTGTTAAAGTTGTCGGAAGGTCCTACTGCTGCTCTAATATTACCTTTTTTAATTACAATGTTTCTTAGCATAAAAAATAAGTCCGAAAAGGCAGTGGCACGTGTAATAATTACTCCACCAGCCTGCAAGTTGAGTGCTAATTTGAGCTTTGTAGAGAAATGAATGCAGATTTGAGTTGAGGCAAACACTGTAGTCGTGATTATTCTTGAGTACATTTGATGCCCCTGAGTTCGGCCAGAGTTATTTACATTAAACTACTGATGAGGACTGCAAGTAATACCTTAGCCAATAAAGCCAATAAGGTGCCGCCTTACTGTTCTCTAGTATATTGACGCTGTAGCGGGTTTTACTACACCAGAACTTAAGCTTCTCTGAACAGTCATTTACGTTACTGGGTTTCCATAACTCTCTAACTTCTCTGGCTACTCAAGTAGTGTTTCAGGATATGAACTACATTTTGTGCAATTAGTAAAAATGCTAGTTAAATTTACTAGCCTATATCTCTTTCTTCGGTTTAAATTAGCTATTTAATAGATCGGATCCGAGTGCCATAATTATTGTATCATGTTATTAAAATGAAGATTTGTATACTGAGATATCTAGGAGTTCTACCTTAATTTAATCAAAGAAAATATTCTGTGATTAGTGTATAAAATCTGGTTAAATAGAGTATTTTCGTGAATAAGTAACATCATTAGGCTTTGTTTATTCGTATAAAAGGGATCATTCATATCCATCCAATCTTTTTTTAACCAACAGATATTGTCGTTCACCCCCTCAATACATATGTAGTTCAGAATGTAACAAACTAGCCTTTGTGGTACACATTTACGTAAAATCAGTTTACTCTCTAATGAAAACATCAATGTATTTTACTTCTCACATGCATATTGCACCTTATGTTTCAGTCATCCCTCATTTAAAAAAGGCCAATCTTCCATGGCAACTGGGGAATCTAAATGCTTCCATAGCACAATTTTTGCAGTCATTTCCTGAAACTTGTTCATCAAATTTACGACCGAAATCATTTCGTCCTATTCATCCTGTTTGGATGCCCTTAGGAAAATCCTATGTACCGCCTAAAATAATACCTGCTGATAAATCCACTACAGTTCGACCTCCGCTTGCTACCGTGAAACCAAATGTAACAATAGCTTCATTACCTAATATAATAAGTGAGTACTTTAAATCATCACCATATTCTATGTATTGATGCTGTGGATCACATATTTTGAAACTAATCTCTATAGATCATTAGATGTTCGATGGGTCTATGCACTTTTTGGTGACACTAGGTTCTTGATTATGAGCCATTTACATTATTATTATTATTATTATTATTATTACTATTATTATTATTATTATTATTATTATTATTATTACTATTATTATCCGAGTCATATCCTGTATTAACAGCATGCTTTATAATGTGATCCGAATATGAGATCTCGCTTAATAAAAACGTAGTGACTGGACGATGAATAACTGTGAATTGGTTCATACTGTCCAGGTGCACTATTTTTGTTTTTTGGAGAGTCTATCGTTTTTCAATCTCAACAACAACTGTTCAATACGCGATAATATACACTTTGAGATGGATCATTAGACCAAAATAAAGCTATTATTTGATGTGAAAGGTTTCTTTTGCAACAGTTGTGCGGAGTGTAAATGAATTACACATCATGTGAACCTGAAATTGTAAAGCGACTCGCTTAAGTGAGTTCCGTTTTTTTGAAAAATGTAACTTAAAACTATAGCAATATCGCCACCGACTTCTATTTCGACCCATGTCTTATGACTTCTCAAGCCACTGAGTTGTACCATCGCTAGTACTTCAACTGGGTATTCGTGATGGACTCTCTGATGTCAGTCTTACACATTTTACTTTTACGAACCAGCGGTGTCATAAACTGGTCATCTCGTCTTCCCATCCAGTCCCGGGGTAGGTGAATGGTACACGATGTGAAAGTCACTTGAACAACATTCACAAATATATTCGAGCAAACAAAGCTAGTTTTTCAGGGTGGTCATAGTAGTAATAATCAAGTCATAAAAGGGTAGAAATTTCTGATTATTCTCATGTTTTTTTAGTTCATCCCTCATCGTTACTCTGATTTTCAGGTTCGAATTCAACCAGTGGGATAGGTGCTGGTACTGTATGTTCACTAGACAATAATTCAACTGGTTCAAGAGCCAGTCGACCAGTGTTACGAATATACAGACAACCATCAGCAGCTAACAAAACAAATGTATTCAATTTTGATCTATGTAGCAGTAGCTTGCCAAATCCCTCATCTCATCAAGCATCACAGTCTAACATAGTTGCGTCAAAATCTAATGCTAATCCTATGCAATCTATGGTTCGCTTACAAAACAAAACAAAACGTGTATCAGAGACATTACCTACTACTACTACTGTTACTAGTAACGGTAATAGTGATGTTCTATCCCTTTCAACATCTTGTAATTCTGTGATATTTCATCAATCGCCTATATCTATAACAACATCATCAGAAGGAACGATGAATGATGCCACTGTTCAATCTATAGGTGTGATCAACCAAAACGAAAATATTACTTCACAACAAATATGTCTTAATGCTCAGTCAAATGATATAAGCGATCATCAACAGATTTCTGATAATAGTTCCATATTTTCGGTGTTTTCATTGCTACCGCCGCCGGCATCATCAGAGACGTTAGTTACAGATATGGTGATTTATCCTGTAATAACATGTGAAGATAATCTGAATGATGCAAAAAGTAATGATCTTGTTTCAACTAGGCGAAAACGGTAAGATAAGCCAATGTTTAATCGTCTTGAGTAAAAGGTGGTAATTCACACCTATATGTATAAAAAAGTATTAGTATAGAGGTTTGTGTAGATTATTGAATTTCTATAGTTTACCTGAATAACTGATCTTAATTAGGTTTTACCCTTTGAAATTGCACACGGAAATACCCTTATCTTCTTGGTCACAATGCGCTCTGATTTTGGTTTACTGCAGAATCTGATTTAGTAAAAATATACTATGCTAATGACCTGAGCATCTTATCAGTTGATCAGAAAACATTGCTTAGTTATAAAACAGTTAATTATAAAAAGCAGTAAAATTACAGTGGAATAATGGTTTTGGTACAAATAATTAACCCATACTTGTTGAATTATATATTATGCCAAAGGAAAAAGGGTTAAGTTTACATACTATGAATTGGGGTTCATAACCCCATAGGGTTTTCGTCACCCATTGACGTCAGCTATAATGCACGGTTTGGCTTATGTAGTAGGAATTAAGAATTAGGAGTTAGGATCACAAATTAAGGTTAGTGTTTTCGTCACGAACTGATATCAGCTGTTACGCAATGAGGCTTTACAACCCTTTTGTTTACATAATGTTGATATTCAGGGTCAGGAGTTAGGGTGCAAGAATACTATACAGTTACATAAACCCCCTTAGTTGCGCATTGATTCGCATCAAGTGCTTGACCATAGAATCTGCATCGGTAATAGATATTTCCGATAATTTATCTTAAACACAATGTTATATTCATTGTTTATTTGGGTGGTAGATATTTTTTATAATCGATTTCAAGCATTTTAGGGACCAAGTATTTCTGAATTCCGCTTAGTTAGTAATAACATACAAGCTATCTTTCACTGAGCTTTTAATTTCGCGTGAAAATCCATGATACTCCATCGTGGTTCGGATTGGTTCAATCAAGGCCGTCAGCAAAGTGTACTTTTATCTTTAATTTTCCAAGGGATTTTATTTTTAGAAGACTCCTGTGGATATTTTGTTGAGACTATAATTTATGGACGGCCTTTGAGCAATGCTAAAGTGATCTTGAGAATATTCAACTGTGTTGGGGTCATGAGATTATTATAAACCAGTTTGAGAAATTAAGGTTTTAGAGTCAAAAGTTAGGGTTATAAATTACAGTTTAAGTCTTCATCACAAGCTGATATCAACTATATAAATATTAAAATTCTATTTAACCATATGGATAAATTAATTTAGCGTCAAAATCCAGGACTTAGTTTCTTAAATCTGATTGGTTCGTTCAAAAATTGTAGTCCTACTGACATTTCTTCCAGATATTATAATTTTATATATTTCTGTAAATATTTATGTTCCTTCATCATCCAGAAACCAACCACCACGTCAGTTATCACCTGGATCTGGCGTCGGAAGTACAATATTTAGTTTAACTAACAGTTATGAAGAAGAATTAGATATGGAGGTGAGTTACTGGTTTAAAATGGGAGTTGTAATGATTATTTGGAGGCGAGTTGTAGCTCAGTGGTTAGGGCGTTCAACTTTCAACATTAATTTCTAGGTTTGTACTTCGTTCCAACTACTTCGGTTTGGGCAACTAAGTGGTAGTATCACTAGTATTCACACTTAGAGTGTAACTTGAAGTCATGAATACTAGTTTGTAAAACTGGCAAATAAGTTGAACAAATAATGGTACTTTGAATGAAATTCATGTTATACAACTGGTTTTGAATTTGTTTGGCTTTTTCTTAATGCATACACTAATATTTGCCTCCACCTATTATCCCGCGTTGAGGAGTATGGGTGGCCCACCAAGATTCTCCATTGAACTCTGCTTTGAGCAATGCTCTCCACTTCTTTCCAGTTACTATTCATCATTTTCATATCTGTTTCCAATTGCCGTCTCAATGTGTTCCTTCGTCTTCCTCTTTTCCGTTTCCATTCAGAATCCCAAGTTAGCGCTTGCATTTGATGCAGTTTGATGATTTCCGCACTGTATATCCTATCCACCTCCATCGTATTTCCCTAATTTTCTATTCAGCTGGAAGCTGGTTCGTTCTCTCCCACAGAAGATTGTTGTTGATGGTATCAGGCCAACAGACATTGAGTTTCTCATATAGACAATTGTTTATAAATACTTGTACTATTTTGATGATGGTTGTGGTAGTTCTTTAATTTTCAGCTCCGTACAGTAGAACTGTCTTGACATTTGTATTGAAGATTATAACTTTGATTTTGGCTTGCAGACAGTTGTTTTGAGTTGTATATGTTCTTCAACTGTAGTAATGCTTTGCTTGTTTGCCAATCCTTAGATTTACGTCTGCATCGGATCCTCCTTTTTCACCGATGATGCTACGCAGGTACGTCAAAATTTCGACCTCTTCCAGAGCTTCTCCATCAAGCATATGCGAGCTGTTCTCCATGCACGACTTTGCAGTATAGTCCGTTGTATGAATTCCGTATTGCGTTGACGACTTCCTGAGGTACACCATAGTGTAGAAGGTTCTCGAAGGTCCCCGCTTTACTCACTGTCAGACGCTTTCTCATAGTCGAGGAAGTTGATGTATTGTAACTAGTTCCATCCAATTGATCGCTATTTGGTCTATGCACGACCGATCCTTATGGAATCTTTGAGTAAATCTTGTAAGGCTTGGAATGTGTTGTTGAGAGCTATCTTTAAATAATTGAGTTTGTCAGTATCTCGAAGGAAGACTGAATCGAAGCTTAGTAATGGTGTTTGTCTAGTCATCCAGTGCTTCTTTATCTTCAGTCTCATCTTTGTAACCACCAGGTGGTGATGTGAAGCTATGTCAGCTCTTTGTTCTCACGTCTTCCACTGACCTAAACGTTTTAGTGACCGGTCGTCCCTGTCTCCCACATTGTGGTGACATTCCATGTATCTATGATAATTGTTGCTGTGGTTGTTATAAGGGTAATCGGTCTCATGACTTTCGAAGAATCTCGGCTTTCATCATGAAGCGTTATAATTCTCTTGAATAAAGATCCTTCAACTCATAGGGAAGGATTTAAAAATGGTTTATTTTGGCTAACGTTCTTTTAGCAAGGTTGTTTTCTACTGGATGAGGTTGCTGACCCCATGCCCAAACCTCCTTTCCCCTGGGCTTGGGACCGGCTGTAATACTCGAAGAGCTGTCGGTGGTGTTCACTTGCATATACACACTAGTTCACAATTCCACATACCAACTTAAGAATTTTTTTAGAAACATCAGTAATATATATATATATAAAGAGAGAGAGAGAGAAGGGACAGTATTCACCGGTAAAATGTCAGTCGATCAGTCATAATGTAAAACCTGGTTCAGTCTAACAATTAATGACTTCCTGAATTGATGCCACTTTTTAGTTTGGTCGTTCGTAGTTTTATTCCAAATTACCCCTTCACTAGTCTACATCTTTCATCGAGTTAGGCTGTGATTATACACATGCAACACTTTATTCGATGAAAATATACAACCTCATCAATCGATCTCTCATCTTCATCAAATACCTTATGCATAACTCCAACATTCCTTATTTAGTCGTGCCGTGAATTAGAAGCTATACTTTAAAGACAAGTATGATAAAAGAATCTGAAACCCACACATATCTACTTCCATAAATTATGTTTCACAATTACACAGAGAAACACAGCTCACTGCTGCATAACGTTGGGTGACACTGATAATTCTTCTACATCATAAATATCACAAATTGACATAAGCCAATTAATCATTATTTATCTGTGTCAAAATCTTCTAAACTAGTTTTCAAATTTTTATGTTTTTTGTCGGTTTTATTCGGCATTAGTATCATTTTTTCCCCAAAGTATATAACCTTACTACTTTCACACATTAATTTTTCTATTGTAATTCATTATTTCATTGTAGCGTTTCTTATCTGCATTGTTTAATAATGCTGAACAAGTAGCTACACGCATTAATGCTGAAGTTGGCATTTTAACACGTAATCCATTATCATATAGTGATAATGATAATCGTTGTAATTGGCCTGAAACTACTGATACTTATGAGATTGTTTCTATTCATCCATCTAATAATAATGACAATAATAAAATAGTGAATTGTTCATTGGATAATAGTCAATCTCAACCACTCACAACAAATATTTCTTCATCATCATCATTATCATCTACCGGTGTAAAATTATCCACATCATTTGTTTGTCAAGATTTTAATTCAGATACTTCAGATAATATGCAATTATGGAGTGATTGGTTTGGTGTAAGTGTGAAATTATCTTTATTTCTTACTCTAAACTTTAATATTTTCTCCATCTCTCATTATTCACTTATTTACTTACTTACGCCTGTTACTCCTCGTGGAGGAGTGTAGGCCACCGACCAGCACTCTCCGCCTGTAGCTCTTCTAGAGTTACTGCCGGTCCCGAACCCGGGTAAAGGGGGAGGGCCGGGCATGGGGTTAGCGACCCCATCCCGTAGAAAACTAACTCACTAAAACGCTGACCAGAAAAATCTCATTATATTATAGTAATTTTAATCTGTATAGCAAAATTAAGCGAATTTATGAAGTATTCCAATTGTTCAGTTGACTATAGTTTAGAATATACCTAATTGATATTACAATTTATTTTTATAATCAATCTTTCATTCCTTGTTCTATGACCAAACATTTGTCTCATCTTTACTATTCAAAATATTTATGCTTCAAATGATTTGTCCCAATATTGTTCAAATCTCAGCCCTCTGTAGACTAGTTTTGCATTTTTAGGAACAGATTGAAATCTCAGGGTTTATGCTTGGTGAATAGTAGGGAAGAGGGTGTTTTAGTATGATCAAATTATGAGTCAGAGATTTATAGACAATTATTTACTGAATGAACGCGTTTATTAATTATACTTAGAAGGACATCACAACCTCCATTGATGAATAATATTTGATTAAATACAGAACAGTAAGAAAAAATTGACTCAGGCTGGTGACTGTTCAAACAACACATGACGGATGTCTTCTTATTTAAATAATCATTTTCTTAAATAGGATGTTAGTAGTTCAGTTTGTGTATTAGAAGTGATTAATGCATATACTTTCTAAAGTGAGATGGATATTTCAATCACATTGGTCGTCATTTAACTTCGGGAAATGTCCAACACTAGATAGTTCTTTCGCTTTAGTATGGGACCCTGTGTTGCTCACTCACGATCCGACCGCTGGGGATCCAAGCCAGGATTGTTAGGTTTTGTTGAAAGTACTCAACCTTTAGATGCATGATGTTGACTGTAAAATAAAAACTTCACAAACTCCTTACTCTAATACTAATTTTGTGCCAAGTAGTGACAAGTTTCGTGCAGTTATTCCCAAAGTTATAGTGAGAATCCATGACCACTGAAGTTCAACTTTGTTAGATTTGAGCCATTTGCTTACCAATGGGATTGGGAGATGGTTGCGCAATATCACGGATTCGTTGGAACTAGAAATAAAAAAACTGTCGGACATCGACTCAATAGTTATAATTGTTAAGTTTTTGCTACGAGATCTAATGGTCGTGTGTAGTCACTGCTGAGGAGTCTTATATTAGAACGAATTAGCTGTATAGCGCTTCCTGATCTTTAATGGTTGTCTAGCTAAGGTTAGTTAGTGATCTAAACTGTGAAATTGTCTTGTAATCTTTGCATCGTTTAAACTTAATCGTATCTAATGCTCACATTTGCTTGAATGTACAATGTACGATTTCATAAAGGGATTATAAGTAGATTGTTTAGGGTTTGTTTTAAACAATGTCGTTTTCTAGAACATATTTTATTTATGTCTATTTCATACTGTTTAACTCCTACATTTCGTTCTCTTTTTATTATCTAGAAAAGAGCAAGAACAATGAATTGAGCAGAGTAACATGAATTCATTTTATTTACTTAAGTTCTCATATCAACAATTCATGAACTATGATATTTTTAGTTGAAAATTATCGTCAAATTTACGTGCTTCTAACAGTAAAATAGGGTATGTATCATCATGCTAGCGTAATACAATCGCAGACATCCGTAAGTTGTTGTAAATTAGTACAATTAATGAGATAGGATTCTGGATGATTATGTAGTGAATGAAGTAGCGCTGTATACATTAATAGCAGTCAGAAATAAGATGATTTGAGATCAGTCAGTTAAGAAGGAAATTGTGAATTTGAAAGAAGCGGTTTAATTAAAAATAAGAGGGGAGAAATTGCAAGAATGAGGTAGTAGAGTGAGGATAAATTAACCATAGTAAATGAAAATTTGCAACTGTTTCCGTTCTGATTTATAAGTTTGACTGAAAAGGCTTGACAAATAATGGCTTGGGCGACTTTGAGAAGAATGTTATTTGGATTCATGTTATTCTGTTCAATTATTTGTTTAACTGATGTTAATTAACCACAACACTCCTACTACTCAAAAATAGCTACTGGTTTATTATTTCAGTCATTACATTATTCATAACTAATCAATCTCCAATCATTTGTTTATTCATTTTAACATATCTAGATAAAAGGTGATTTAGACACATGTATTGATCATTTGTTATCAGATCTTGAATCTATCGACGTTTTCACGTCCACAGTCAATACCACAACTGTCACTAATACTACTTCAACTGTGAGTTCTACGATTCCCAACCAAAATGTTAATAATACAACAATAATTGAAACACTAATCGATATTGATCAATGTTCGCATCAATCGTCTGTTGTAACAACATCATCAAATGATATTATTACCTCAGGTCCTAGCAATGTATCTCACGAATTGATATCGTCTCCTTCATCATCATTATCAGACTGTGTTATTAATGTCACCGTCAATGATAAAACATTAGCAATGTCTATTACTTCAGCGACAATAACGAGTACTTCTGACTTATTTCATCCTAATTCACCAATATTATCTACACTATTATGTGACAATACTGGGAACAATAGTAGCAATGATGATGTTAATAATAATAATGATAATAATGAGTCACTTATTATTCCTAGCATACCTGATACTAACTTGATGATGAAGACTCCTATAATTTCTACTCCTGTTACAATTACTACTTCTACGGTTACTAATCAACATCTTGTTCATAATGTCTGTAAGCGATTGATTACATCATTACCGTCATCATCTTCATCACCATTTTGTTTCAGTCAGTTGGTTAATAATAATTCACAAAATTTTCCAAGTAAACGTCAATGTCTACGTCATTCTGATAATGTAAATAATATTAATAATAGTACTATGAGTATTAATACTAATAATAATTTACCACCAATTTTAATTACACCGGATTCAAAGAAAAATCATGTCAATGAACATAATGATAAATTATTCTATGAAAATTTGCCAAGCTGTAAATTGTTTAAAGGTACACTATTTGTATTAGGGTTTGTATTTAATTTTTCAATGATTGTATTTCCTTATGAATCAAATGATATTTCAGTTAATCAGTCAGGGCTAGGTAACATAGAGTCTGGTATATAAATGTCTGTCGATCGAAGTTGTCATTGCACTACAACATCTGTACAGCTAAATTATTTATTTAAACACATAGACATTAATATAAAGAGGCACTAAATATATATAGGCCAAATTTCGTCATTCGATTTGTGTGACGACTGGAATACTGTCCGGGTGCCCAAACCGAAGCAGGTGGTCTTATCAGGGAGCCACTACTCCCCGAACTTTTGACCTAAAGGTCTAATCCAAAAGGCAGTGGAGCAACGTTAGGAGATGCAGTCCCATGGCATCCGGTGACCAACGATTGGTTCATACGGCAGTTGTTCCTTCAGGATACTGTAGCCCATGTGAACCATTGATCTGAAATCAGAGTTTTCCAACTCCCCTAGATGGATCCTCCATATCCATCAACCAGGTTAAAGCTCTGAACGTTCGCTTTCCGTCCTCCCAATTTCATAAACAACACTGGTGCCGCGAGAAGGCAGTGAGTAAGACTTCCCTGACAGTGGTTGTACGCATGTGGCCATGTGAGAGCATTTCAAAAGGGAGGGCTGACTCTTCCCTCTCTCGGCCGTACCAGCGCATCAATTACACGCTTAACCACCACTAATGACCTTGAGTTGACGTAACAATGTTCCTATTGGTTGGTTATTCTCAAGCCCCTCTATGCTCTGTGTTGAGTCCCAAAGTCAATAATATTTATATTTCAAACAAATGTGGTTAAGACACAGAAATACGGGACCGCATTACGCTACTAAATGAAACATAGCAACTATATGTAAATAAGTCAAAGGTGGGTGTGATTAGGGGAAACTCTAATTCAAAATAGCAAGTCATTTAACCGTAGTTTATAGGTGGACCGAAAGCTTATGATAAACGGAATATATATATATATATAACCATTTACTCAGTAATTATACAACGAAATGATAATTAATAATTGTTCAAAACCGGTTCCAATTTACAACATTCGTTTCGTCATGACAATTAACCCGATTCTTCATATCACATCAATTTGACAATAAGCGATAACTGACATGAATGGAGTCGAGATATTAACAGTAACAGTAATAATGAGAAGACAGAATATTGAGATAATATTTTTCAAAAGGACAGAATAAGTTGTAAATACATGAATTTGAATTAATTAATTAAGATAAACAATAGGTTTCTAAGATCATTTAAATCAAACTTATGCAGTGAAAATATTTAACCAGAGAAAATGGTACCAACCAATTATTTCATTCAGTCACAAATTTGAGTGTATAATCCATGACGTGTGTTTCATTCTGTTTGGAACTTCGTTTACTGAATTAATCTGCATTTAATTGTTGATGTTTACTCTGGTATGTGTATACAATCTGGAACGTGTTACGTAATTCCATATGAAGGCAATCCTCTTGGGATGGAAACATGCCATCAGTGACCAGTGATCATTTGAACTCATGAATTTTAACTACTGATATTCAGTTCTAGTTAGTCGAAGTTATTTTTTACTTGTTGATAATCACTAGACATACATAGCGAAAGTGGATGTGAGTGGGGAAAGGTTTAAGTAATGGATCGGCAATAAATTCGAAATAGCCAGTCATATAGCTGCTACATAGATCAATTTCGTTATTGTTGAAGGAGTCCCAAAAACATCCCACGTCGAAGTTCCTAGAGAAGCAGAAACGTTAGGGAATATTTTATCCCATCGGTGTTGGGTAGAATCTTCGCAGGAACATCTGGGAAATGAGGAATTATGTGTCACAGTTTTGATTAGATATTTACTTACGCTGCTACTATATTTAGCATGGTTCCAGGAACTTCTGGGGGCTCAAAGCCGTATATAACTTTATAAATACTCTTGTTTTTCTGCACATCAACCAACTTTGGAGTAAAGATCTTACTTGCAATTCCCGCTTTCTCCCTATTGTTCCAGTGGACATGTAGAAGTAGTTGGGAATATCGGAACCGAGTAGTAGGAAGACGGTTAATAGATATCGATGGTAGCAAGATTTGTCAATAATATTACTCAGGGTTGTAGTATCATGTATCAAACTTTCGTTTGTATAATCACATCGTTATTATATTACTTAAAATTGCCTTTTTTTATTCTAACTTAAGTTCATTTGTTAACTTTTTTTTTTCAATAACTCAAAAGGAAATACTAATAAAGATTCATTTCAACATCATTCAAATGATCATCATCTTCAGTCCACTTATCTATTATCATCACCTTCTTGTTATTATTCTATTCCACAGAATTCAAATGCTCAAACTGTAATTAGTAGTGCTACGAATACATGTATGACAGCTTATCTATTAAATAATCCTTTATCAATTATTGATTTACGTCAAATTGCACAGAATAATAATAATAATAATAATAATACTGGTATAACTATCACTAATGAGAATAATTACAATAATCCAATCACTTTTTATACAACAAACAACAATCATAAATTATTATCACCAACAATTGAGAATCATGTTAATTATGTAGATTTAAATAATAATTCCTTGATAAATTTGATACCTGTCAGTTATAATTCAAATTTAACACCATTTATTATGAATAATACATTAATTAATACAACATTATCCACAATAACAATGACTACCGACAGCAATATGACTTCGAAAGCTTTTGTTAATCTTCCTTGTAATACTGTTAGTACATGTACTACTACTACTACTACTACTAGTAATAATAATAACACAGGATCGACTACTGATGTTGTTACTGCTGCAGTTATCACTACTGGTATAAGTGGTGATTATATACAAACTATCAAAGTTGGTGATAATAATAGTAATAGGTGTTATTCAAAAAGTTCATTGTTAATTGATGCAAAAGAAAATCATCCACCTACACCGGCACTTATTGTTCAAGTAAGTTGACGATGTTATTCTCTTCTTCTCATATGTATATCTCTCTATTGTGATTTTTAAATGAATGTCGAATGACTGAGCTTGGGACTGTATGCTTGGATGATGATAACGTATTGGCCCCTATAATGGTTAGGTATTTGCCCTAAGATCTGAATGTCCTGTGTTCGATTTCTAACTAGCCTTTGGGTAGACATTGTTAAGAAGTCTGAAGCTAGAATCGAAGTAGTTATGGAGTATCCCCTGTGTTTTGAATGTTCTGTCAAGTGAGATCCATGTGTGACGGATATATAGTCTAGAAAAGGAAATACCATTTCTTTGAAATGGTAGTAGATATGTACTTTAGTAAACAGGATCAGCTAGTATGAGACGTAGGTGTTGAACTTCTATTCAATAACCTTCTATCATCCAACGGCGAGACTATAATTTATGGACGAACCAATCAGGTATAAGATAACAGGTCTCGGATTTTGGCGCGAAATTCACCCTAAATCTCATTCCTAACCTTAACCATCAACTGTAAATCATAATTCTAATTCCTCATACAGATTCATAACCTTCATTTGGTCCTAGTTATTAGGTGAAGACTCTCAAGGTCACTTTAGTGCCGCTCAAAGGTCGTCCATAAATTATAGTTTCACCTATGTGTGTACTGGTAGTGATCAATTGTTTTCCAATCCATTAATTTTACTTAACTTCACTATATTTTTTTCAATACATGTTGAATGATAAGATTATCGTAATGAAATTGTGTCTTTTTTTGAGGAATAATTTTATCATCAGACATTTTTATAACATGTTTAGTTATCTAATTAATTACGATTTTGCCAATGATACACTGTAAACGTCTATAAATTAAGTTGTGCCGAGTGTGATACTTTTTCGTCTAGTGGATTTATTTCGTGAGATTTTGTGTCGTTTCAAAGAACATTTAAGCTACATAAAAGGATCTTATCAAAATCTTATGGAATTTGAGAATTAACTAATCAAATGAACCAAATTTTCAGCAAACCATTAGATCTACATGGAAAATGTCAGAATAATTCTCCCACTTGGGAGAATCTTAGACGTTATTGGTTCGTGGTATCTCTTAGTACCCTTCCCAAGGACAGTCTTATGCTGTATATATATGTTTGATTTGTGCCTGATGTTATCGCTCGTGCTTCTGTCTACTTGCGGAATATATTTCCCCGTTCGAACTTGGACTTCTCTCTCTATTTAGCGGTACTGGGACGCATCAGAATAGCTAGCTTATTGGTCTTTGGTCACAGAGCCTTTGTTCCGTTCTCAGATTAGGTGAACTCGTAATCGCTTCAAACATAGCAGTTTCAAATAGATCGGCGAAGTGTCAGTATAGAGTTCTGGAGATTGTTGAGTTTTAATTGAGACTATTAACCGATCAATGTTAAATCACCCCCGAATGCCCTGGTACGGCCGAGAGCGGGGAGAGTCCGCTCTCCCTCTCGAAATGCTCTCACATGGCCACGCGTATATGGCCTGTGCCAGGGAAGTCCTACTCACTGCCTTCTCATGGCGGAGGTGTTGTTTGCGAAAATGAGAGGACGAAAAGCGAGTGTCCGGCGCTTTACCCGAATCCCGAACCAATGGTGCACATGGGCTCCAGTATCCTGAGGGAACAAATGGCGTATGAACCAATCGTTGGTCACCGGCTACCATGGGACTGCATCTCCTTACGACGCTCCACTATCTTGTGGATTAGACCTTCAGGCCGAAGGCTCGGGGTGTGGCCCCCTAAGAAAACCACCTGTTTCGGTTTGGGCACCCGGGCAGTATCACAGCCTCCACACATATCGAATGAGATTTGTGTGGCGCATATGTATTTGATGCCTCTTTGTACCAATATCTATGTGTTAAAATAAATAAAACATAAAAAATCACCGTTGAAAACTTCTGAGCACTGGACGACCTTTTCGTTCAACAATGCGCATTCGAAATCTTGCATGCGGGATTCGAACCCGGGATGTACAATTCCGTGCACACGAACCTTTAGACCACAACCATGTAAGATACATAAATAAATGGATGACTAACATAACCACAACTCACTAACAATTAGAAAAATACAATCATGTCCAAACTGGCCATTAGGGTAACGAAACAAAGTACCAAATTACATTAGCTCTGGAACAGAAAAGGGTATGGCAATGAATCATACATCAAACGAAAGTTTTTGGTTTGTAAAATAATGTAGGAATGAGACTGAATGTTAGTATTTCGCAAACTTTGAGTTAAGTGAAATAATGTCCTCCAAAATAGCTTCCGTTGTTTGTCATGGCATTTTGTTTCTATGTTCACATTAAAATTGTACAGCCATGTGTGTAACATTAGAACTTTAATTTTTTCACTTATAGAAATTTTTCCGAATTATGATTTGAGAAAAATTGAGATTTTTCGATACACTTATTTATCATTGAGACTGTTACTACTTATAGTAGTAAGTTTAAGAAGTTGATCATTTTTTTATAACTTGTAATATTGCTTGTGAAGAGCTCTAAATTACTATTTCATTCAAATACTATGTTTTCCTATGTTTTTAATTGTAGCGTGGTGTACGAAAGAAGGTAAGTATTACAAGTCCGAATTGGATTGTTATATGAATTTGCTGTTATCTTATTTTTAATTATTATTCTAAACAATTTACTGAGGGAATTCTCGGAGTTCTAGTGAGAGACCGTGACCAGTGGAGCTAATCCGTGTCGGGTAGAGACAGGTATCTACCTCAGTACAGTGAGAGGTGGTCGCGAAATTTCGTTGATTGGTTGATCTTAGACACTAATACAGTTGGATGCCGGCTCAGTGGCCCCAAATGCCCTGGTACGGCCGAGATCGGGGTGGGTTCACCCTCCCTCTCGAAATACTCTCACACGGCCGCGCGTATACAGCCTCTGCCAGGGAAGTCCTACTCATTGCCTTCTCGTGGCGGGGTGTTGTTTACGAAAATGAGAGGACGAAAAGCGAATGTCCGGCGCTTTAATCGGATTCCAACTCAATGGTGCACATGGGCTCTAGTATCCTGAGGGAACAAATGGCTTATAAACCAGTCGTTGGTCACCGGCTACCATGGGACTGCATCTCCTTACGACGCTCCACTATCTTGTGGATTAGACCTTTAGGTCAAAGGCTCGGGGTGTGGCCCCCTAAGAAAACCACCTGTTTCGGTTTGGGCACCCGGGCAGTAATACAGCCCACACGCAATTAATGAACTGAACTGTCTATGATCATGGAAACTAATTCTCTTGCTTCGACGAACATTCAAATGATTCTATCATTATTATTATTATTATTATCATTATTATTATTATTTACTACGTCATTATTCACCCTCTTTTATTCCTACTCTGTGTATACTTATTTTTTTCGACTTATACAGCAGCTCGTCTATGGTGGAAATTCGACTGTATCTAAACGTTCTCGAGTCACTGTCCGGTTGAAAATTGTATGTTACCACCGAATACGAGGACTGAAGCAGTTTTTCTGAAACCACGTGCACCATTCAAACTGGCTGCCTTCAACGTTCGCACATTTATGCAGGTCGGACAACAGATAGGGCTGGCTATGTCTTTGGAAAGTCTTAATATCGATGTTTGTTGTCTATCCGAGACCCGTATTCAAGACTCTGGCGAAGTACTACAAATTCGATCTCCATCTGTCGCTTCGAAAAGCTTGTTTTACGTGCGCTTATCCGGGGACCCTGTGGCATCTTCGTCTGGTCTTGCTGGCGTTGGTGTCGCACTAAGCGCTAGAGCTGAGGCAGCACTAGTCGATTGGATCCCCATTAACAGTCGGTTATGTGCTGTTAGATTAGAAAGTTCCATCAAAGTGAGAAGAAATCGGCGTGAGAAACGATGTCTTTTCGTCATCTCCGCCTATGCCCCGACAGATTGCAGCCCGGATGCAATCAAGGATGAGTTTTACCACCAGTTATCTGTTCTTCTCCAGAAAGTGCGTTCGACAGATATTGTAGTACTAGCCGGAGACTTGAATGCTCAGGTCGGGCGTCTAGGCACAGAAGAGAGTCGTTTAGGTGGCCGATGGGGACTCGTTGGTCGCAGGTCAGATAACGGGGACCGTCTACTGCAACTTTGCACAGACCACAACCTGTTTCTGGCTAGCACTAACTTTCGGCACAGTCATCGCCGATGTGCCACCTGGCGTCCTCCCTCTGCATCTCAAGCCTGGACTCAGATTGATCACATCGCGATCAGCTACCGCTGGCGTGGTTGTGTACAAGACTGCCGCTCCTTTTGGAGTACCTATCTGGACTCTGACCATGCCTTGGTCTGCGCCAATCTTGCCTTACTTTTCAGTGGACAACGAAGTGACGCCATCAACGGATTGATGTTAGCAAGCTGGTTGCAACTTCTGTTGCAAGTAAGTATCGAACCGAGCTAGCCTCTAGGCTAGCTACCACTCCACCGAAAAGTATAGATGAGCATTGGTTGCAATTGCATGACGCCATGAAAATGGCGGGAACAGTCAGTTGTGGGTTTGCGAAACGTCCCGCTTTTAAGCACTGGGTTTCTTCTGGTTCCTTACAACTCATTGAAGCCCGTCGGTCTACTCCGGGTGACCGTGAGTTTGACCATAAACGAAGGATGTTACGTAAGGAAATTGGGCAAAGCTTGCGTAAGGACCGAGAAGCCTGGTGGTCGATGCGTGCTAATGAGCTGGAAGCAGCAGCTGCATCTGGTAACTACCGGAAGCTCTTCCAGCTCATCCGAGCCACTGGCAGCAAGAAGTCTGGTGTGAGTGAAACAATCTGCGAGGATGATGGGATGCCAATCACTAACATCCATCGACGTCTTGGACGATGGGCAGAATTTTTCGAAGGGCAGTTCAACTGGCCTGCTGCTCCGGCAACATCGGTCAGACTGTCCTGCCCTCCATGGCCGGTGACGACTGATCCACCAAATGAGGAGGAAGTCCGCAAGGAACTCCAACTCTTGAAGCGTTACAAATCACCTGGCCCAGATGACTTACCTCCGGCTCTTTTTAAAGATGGTGGTGACTTTTTGACTAAGGAATTGACGACGTTGTTTACAAAGGTTTGGGAACTAGAGTGTGTACCAACGTCATGGAATGAGTCGATAGTTGTCCCTATCTTTAAAAAGGGTTCACGTCGTTCTTGTAACAACTATCGGGGGATAAGTTTACTTCCGATTGCGTCCAAGCTATTGGCTTCCGTCATACTTCGTAGGTTGTTCAAAACCCGAGAAAGATTGACTCGCGAGGAGCAGGCTGGGTTTCGTTCTGGTCGAGGATGTATTGATCATATCTTCACCCTCCGCCAAATGTTAGAACACCGCCATACTTATCAAAGGCCAACAATCGTAGTGTTTCTTGACATCAGGGCTGCCTTCGATTCGTTGGACAGGACTGTTCTCTGGGATTGTCTATTGAAGAAGGGTGTGCCTGAGAAGTTTATTAACATCCTAAAAGCCCTATATAAAAACACCTCAGGCAGAGTGAGGGCATACAACCACCTCTCTCCATTGTTCCATTCGAGCAGTGGGGTTAGGCAGGGTTGCCCAATCTCACCATTCCTCTTCAACTTTGCCATCGATGATATTGTCTTACTGTGCGATAATGCCCAAGGCATGCAATCCGCCCTTAATTAGTTGGCAATCAGTGTCCGGAGGTACGGTATATGCTTTACACATTGGAAGTGCAAAGTACTTCTATGAGACTGGCAGGATTCTAATCCTGTACTCACCATGGAAGGTGAGCAGATAGACGTAGTCGAGAAGTTCGTGTATCTGGGTAGCATCATAAGTGCTGGTGGGGGTGTGAGTGATGAGATTAATGCACGTATAGTGAAAGCCAATCTGGGCCACCTTTGGCGCCTTCGTGATGTTAGTCTGGCTGTAAAAGGTCGGATTTACAACGCGTCGGTGAGAGCGATTTTGCTCTATGCTTGTGAAACCTGGCCTCTCCGAGTTGAGGACGTTAGACGACTCTCTGTGTTCGATCATCGCTGTCTCCGAAGGATTGCTGACATTCAGTGGCAACACCATGTCAGTAATACAGAGGTTCGGCATCGTGTGATCGGTCACAGAGACGATAATGCAATTGGTGTCACCATCTTGAAACACCGACTTCGGTGGCTTGGACATGTTCTCCGAATGTCGTCCCAGAGAATTCCACGTCGTGCATTATTTGCCGACTCTGGGACTGGTTGGAAGAGGCGGAGAGGTGGTCAGTGTATGACATGGTGTCGTGGTATGAAAGAAAGCTGCAAAGGACTGGCTTCTGTTGGTCCTTCACGACTCCCTGGTTGGGGTCTGAGAGATGGTGCTACACAGTGGCTAGAGACGTTATCAGATATGGCTCAGAATAGAAGTCAGTGACGATCCTGCTGTAAACTTCTTTTACTTTCTTCCTAAAAAGTGGTTGTATCCTCCTTAACTGAAAGATTTCTTCTGATTGTATTTTTCTGTTCCCCTACTATTACTATTATTATTATTACACTACTTTACACCAATCTCTTCGTTATTGTTTTTTTGAAAAAAAATTTTTACGTTCCTCACTTTTTTTTCTTAAATTCTAATTGTTTTGTGTGGCGCATATATATTTGGCGCACTCCTGTACCAATATGTATGTGTTCAAATATATAAATAAATACAGTGGTTCGGTAGGTTAAGTGTTCACGCGCGAGACTGAAGGTCCTGGGTACAATCCCGCGAGTAGGATCGTGGATGCGCACCACTGAGGAGTCCCACAATAGGACGAAACGGCCGTCCAGTGCTTCCAGGTTTTCGACGGTGGTCTCACATCAATCGGTTCATGACCTCTCAATCAAAAAATTTACTATCAGTAGAAATAGTAGTAGTTAGTACTATGGTTAATCGTGTTAAGAAAACTCTCCATATGATTTATATTGTATGCTCAATGAAACCCTTACTTTGAAGCATGATATTGTATATCATAACGATAGGTTGGATAAATCATTACATAGTATCAATCTAAGAAATCACGAACCGCTGATCAAAGCCAACTTGTTTGAAGTGTCCAGTGAAATAATTATAACTAATAGTTGTAAAAGATTATTAGAATTTATTTGAACATTGTTAATATCCTGTCATGTAGTTCACTCATGATGAGGCAACTAGCGTAAGTAATTTTGTCATGAAAAATAGTTTTGTTCTTTGATTGAACCACCAAAAGTAACCGTCGATCAAGATATTCGACAGTATGTTGTATGTTTGTAATTAGACAAGTGAAATCAGTCTTTAAAATATGTATCTAGAATAATTTTGAAGTATCCCAGTCATTCATTTGCCATGAACGTGGGACTTGATACACAAATATGCATCGACTCAAATTACCACACCAGTGAGAGTAACGACGAATATCGAGAGAGTCAGAGTAAACAGTATTAACAATCAGAACAAAAATAATTGAACAGAAAGAATATGGTTGTAATGGATTGAATGAATTCCTAGAATAAAATGCATGAAATAGTATCGAGACTGCGAACTCAAAAGGAAATTAATATATAAATTCATATACACTATTGGGATTGATTTTCATCTGTACTAGTCAGCATCTTCAACCACTGATTGTAACTGTTACACTGATAATAACCAGCTAGTCTGCACTTAACAACACTGCTCAGACTAGGAGTCAATGAATTTGTGTACTGACTTCACCTTCTGATATGGTCTATCATAGCTTGGAACCTACTACGCTAGTCACTACTGTACTTCATAAATGATCAGTCGCTTGACTTAGGTTAATGCATGTTTCAGTCACATCAGTTTATGAAGATTTATAGTTCCATTTGCCAATTTGCCATTTTTAAAAATCATGTTCGATTACTCAGTTGCTCTACCATATATGGATAATGCTTCAAAGACATTTATGATCACGTATTAGTAACTTGAATTAGTTAATTTGACTGAAATTTACTTTGTTTATATGTGTGGATCTTCCAATCAATACTCACAAATAATCACTCTAAAAGGAATATAGCACATATAATTTAGATCTCGTAGTAAATGCATAGTATTTAGATCATTGAGTTCCAGTTCAGTTACACGCGATTCAGTTCCATACCATGATAAAAAACATTTCATAAAAACAATGGGAAGTAGAGAAAATATAATTAAAGATAAACAAATTTATAGACAGTCTGTAAACTTCTCTGCAGCTTATTGCTATTGTATATAATAGTTAATAACAATTCTTGAATATAAGCAAAGATGGATAGTGGCTAGCAGTGGAATCCAGGATGCGCGTTTCGTCCTGTTTGGGACACGTCAGCTGGATGTACCTGCATCTCAGAGTTGATGTTCACTCTGGGACTCGAACTCATTACCGTTCGCTTCAAACGCCATCGCGTTATCCACTTAGCTACTGAGTCCTGATAGCCACTTGCTTGTGCAATGGGGTGAAGTTTAATTCACTTGATATTGTTTTACTTGGATCTTCCCATTGATGTTTTAGGACGCATATGCCAATAAGATACTGATCAATTTCAGTCCTAAAACATCAATGGGAAGATTCAGGTAAAGCAATACCAAGTGAATTAATTCTTGAATATATCTATTCAATCTGTTAATTTAAATTACTTCTGTTCACAGCTAAACATTATTGACCCTATTCATACAAAAACAAACATATATCATTGAAATCTTTCATTAATTTAGGGATTTGTAAATATTGTTAGATTTCATAGCTCACATCACGAGATGATGTTATTTAAACAACTGTTAAATAGGAAGAAATACTGGTTATTTTTTGTCTTACTATGGACTAGTGGGATTCAGCTATGTCAGTTGTAAGGCAGTCTCACTCCAATAATGATATTAGAAGATAGTTGGGCAGTGCTGGAAACTGATTTGAATTAACACATGGTTACCATCTCAATGGTCAACATTTTAAGCTCTTGTCACGATACCAGATAGCTGTAGGGTTGATTACGATAGTATGGTCGTTGGTAACTAATGAAGTCTTCTTTATTACAACAGAACAGCTTTTCAGTTTGTCCTGGCTTTCAGTGTTTGTCCAACTAAGATCATTCATTGTAGTAAACTAAAATAATCTTTCACTACTAATACTAATTTACACCTTTTTTATTTTCGAAATCCCTAATAGATTTTAAATTTGCAATCGTTGGACATTGAAAAAATAATATCTCAGTCTCACTAATTAAAACGCATCACAACTTCTCGAGGGAATCAATCTCTCGTAGGCGCAGATGCCTTCATAACAACCTTGGATTTCTTATTGAATGTAAAATCCAATCATATCAATTAATCCTACTAATTCAACAATAATGATAATGAATTGCTTTCGTATGGTTTATTCAAAGAACAACGCACTCACATATAGATATTGTCATCATAATATTATGTAACAGTATCAGTAGTATTTGTGTAAACATACAGTCTGATTTGCATTCCAAAACATGCATTTATTTTTTTATATTTATCAATTTGTTATTTCCAAAGTTTTTTTTTTTCATATGTAATTTATTATTCTTATTCGTCTTCTTACTGTTATTATTATTATTATTGCATTAAAGTATTTATTAGCGATTTCTATGTGGCCATTATTTCATCATTATAGATGTCACGGTAAGGTCGTGACTAGGAAGAGTCAGGTCTCCTTCTCGAAATACTCTCACACAGTCACGCATATACAGCCACTTTCAGGGAAGTCCTACTTACTGCCTTCTCGAAGTGTGTGTGTTGTTTGTATCCGGTGCTTGACCCGGGTTGTTGGATATGGAGGATCCATCTAGGGGAGTTGGAAAACCCTGATTCCAGATCAATGGTTCACATGGGCTACAGTATCCTGAAGGGACAATTGGCGTATGAACCAATCGTTGCTCATCTGCTGCCATGGGACTACATCTCCTAACGTTGCTCCACTATCTTGTGGATTAGACCTTTAGGTCAAAGGTTCGGGAGTAGTGGCTCCCTAATAAGATCACCTGCTTCGGTTTGGGCACCCGGACAATATTCCAGTCGTCACACAAATCAAATGACGAAATTTGGCCTATATATATTTAGTGCCTCTTTATATTAATGTCTATGTGTCCAAATAAATGAATAACCTGGAAACTGACATGACAATGAGATATCAATAAAAAACTATAACGGGTTGTAAATCTGTACTGAATTGGTTCACTTGTAGTACAGAAATGATGAGTAACTGCGATCGTTGTTAATCAGTAGAAATTTGTCAATCAAAAAATTTCTATCAGTAGGTAATGAGTTTTGAGTAAAAGGCCATATTTATAGACTATTGAAAAAAATTTCATCAGTAGATATTTGTCACATTTTTAATTTCATTGTTTAAAACATTTCTGAAACTCTTTAGAAGTTAGGTTCTTCAACTGTGCATCTACATATCGTCTAAGCGTCATCTCCGCTAGTTTATTTTACATTTTAGGAACAGAATGAAATAATAGAGGTTGTATCTGGTTTGTAGTGGAGAGGGTGTTCTGGTATGATCATCAAATTATAAGACTGATAAGCTCAGACTATCACTAAATTGTTTAGTTGCATGCGAGCTGTTCATGGTATTCCATGCTTTGCCTAATATGTAGAGGTCTTCATAATCCATTCAACCACCAGGCGAATGAGAATTGGTAAGTCGCCAGCCTTGTCTGACAGCGGTCCTCATTCAGAATGCATCTGTGAGTTGTTTTCCATGAACGACCTTGTGGTGTAGTCCGTCATATGAATTCCGTATTACGTTGACGACTTTTAGAGGTATACCATAATGTAGAAGGTTCCATAAGGTCCCCTTCACTCACTGTCAAATGCTTTCTCATAGTCAAGGAAGTTGATTGCTCAACGACGATTTGTAGTGTCGCTATTCGGTCTATCCACGACTGGTCCTTACGGAATCCAACCTGTTGATCTTGAAGTTGGGCGTCTGCTGAATCTTCCATCTGGTTAGGTAACACTCTGTTGAAAACGTTTCGTAGTACTGATAATTGTGTCATGCCTCTGTAGCTGAGTTTTCACATTTGCTCATATCTCCTTTCTTTGGTGCCTTGATGAGGTATCCTTCTTTTCTGTAGGTCCAGTGTGGCTGACATATTCAAAAGTTCTTCAGAGTGCTCTACCCACCTGTCCCATCGATCTTGAATCTCAATGACAGACTTGTCTTTTTTGTCCATGACTGATCGCTCCCTGCCAGTTTCTTCGTTGTATCATATAGTTGTTTGATATTTTCTTCTCTTGCAACGTTTTCCTTCTCTTTCGTTTCTCCCAGTCATTCCATGTCGTTTCATACCCGGTGTTATCAATGCTGACTTTGGTGTTTAGTTTTTCCATCAGGATGGTCAGGTTCTTTCGTGAGCGCTTCCCTATGACTGACTGCAGCCTCTGATAAAACTGAGGCTTATCGTCTCCATTGCTATAATTGATGGGTTCATAGCACTGGATAATATTCATTGAGATCACCTTTGTTCTGGTTATGGTTTGATGATTGTGGATCCATGGGGTGCTCACTGTAAAAGTTCTTTTCGTGCTCCTTTGCATCACATCAGTGCAACTCCCTGAGTGTGCGAAACATTTTCCTCTTCGTAACTAGAGTATAATAGCATCTCTCCCGAATCTTATTTTTTTCTGTCCAGTTTGTGTGGAATGGGTTTCAGTCATTCCGAGCACCATGAAGTTGTATCTCCTTATTTTCGTAGCTATCTGATCGGTCATCTCTGTTTCCTACATTTTACTGACATTCCAGGTACCTGTGATAATTGTTGCTGTGGTTTATATAAAAGTAATCGGCATCATGAGTTTCGCAGAATCTCGGCTTTCATCATGATGTGTCATAATTCTCCTGAATGAAAACCCTTCAGCTTCCTGGGAGGATAAAATAATACATAAGCAATCCGGAATCGCCGTAGTCCGTGGATGAGAATCTTGACAACAGGTATCATCGATCGGTCAGATATCAACAACGATTCTCCCCTTCATATTGTCAGTGTTTATTCATCATAACAGCACATGGTTGTTGCTACCTTGGCGTGGTGGTCGGGCTTGCCTATCGTGATGAAGCAACCGAGCTATATTGGCTGGAACAACCGTTCCTCAAGGTCCTACCATGTCAGACAGGTCGGTTGAAGAGCGGTAAGACTAAAAGCAACAGACCCAAGGAGCGAAGGCGAAGTCGTACTGCTGACTGTACAGAGGTGTGACAGCAGTAAGGTGTTTCCTTCAGACAACCAGCATGACAGCGATGCTGCCTTCCCACAAGGAGGGGTGGGGTTAGAAAAGGTCGACCCTAAAAATGCACACCTCACCTTACCTCACGGATTTCCGTCTCCGGCGGTAAGGCCCTTTGAAGAACGGAGCTAACACATTAAAAACCTTCCACGAAAAGGCCGCGCGCGACCGGCCTCAAGCAATTGTCCCTTGGGCACTGCGGTCACGTTCTCAGGTCACTGAGACCACCTCTAATCCAATTTCCTTTTCAGGTACCTTCAGAACAACCCTTCCTCGGTGTGGGCAACCGGGAAGTGATAACCGCCCTCATACCTCTGACAGCACTCGAGACCACTGTATTCATAATCAACCTTCCTCTTCAATTCCTATTATTCCTCTACATCGACTTTCAACTCTAAACTTCCTCTTTCGGCTTCCTCCTCACGTGTCACCATAGCCAACGATTCTAGTGCTCAAAACTCTGTCCCAGGTCTACTGAAACGAGTATACTGCGCGGCAGTCCGTTCTGTTTTACTTTACGGCAGCGAAACATGGCCATTAAGAGCAGGAGACACTCGTAAGCTATTAGTATTTGACCACAGATGCCTCAGAAATATTGCTGGGATCACCGGGTAAGTAATAGTAAGGTTAGACGCAGAGTATTAGGAAATGATGGTAAATCAGTTGATGAGGTTATGAATCTTTATCGACTGAGATGGTTGGGCCACGTGTTACGTATGCCTGAACACCGATTACCACGACGTGCAATGCTATCCGGTATTGGAGATGGTTGGAACAAAATTAGGGGCGGCCAAACCAAAACGTGGCATCAGTGCTTGAAGACACTAACTTCTAGTCTGAGCCATGTTGGTAGATGCATAATACTTGTTTGGGGTCCGCGTGACTATGGTAACCAATGGTTAGAGACTCTGGGTGATATGGCTCAGAATCGATCACAATGGAGTCGGTGTATACACTCTTTGTCTTCCCTTAAACTAAGAGATTAAAATCACTTCATATCTTTCTTTTTACGAACCAATTCTTTCTTCTTGTACTATATTTCTATATGCAATCTTTCTCTTATATATTACCACCTTCGACCTAACCACTGCTATGAATCCAGTGTTCATCTTGTTGTGCTGATGCGGTATGGCAACCTGGACCGATGCACATGTGTGCCTGGTCCTACGTTGTAGCTGACTGACTGACTGACAGCACATGGTGATGGTTAGTTTTGGCGAGCAAAGACTCATTGAATGTGCTTTGGTTGACTGATTGATCTAGTGAAAATGCAGGTTGTGAGTTGTTGACAGTAGAGTATATTTGTGCTAATGTTAGTGATCTCGTGGTGTTAGTATACTTTTGTTGTTGCTTTTGTGGATATTGTGATTATGGTTGGGTTTTATCGCTTGGGTATATGTGTGATATGAGTGTTGTGATTTGCTACAGGTAGGTATATATGGAATCTGTGGGTAGTCTCGGTGGCGCAGTTGGGAATGCGTTCACGAGCCAGTCAGTATATGGTTGGTGGACTGGGCCTAACCACTATGGGAAGCTATACTGTAGGTTAAATCCAACAGGGCGGATTCAGATCAATTGCGGTCCACCCTTTCTATCTCTCGCACCCTATCCTACCATCTAAACCTCTCGCTTCCTTTCCCTTGTTCTCATTCTATGCTCACTACATACATACATCTTCAACCATTCCAACTCAGGTGTACTGAACCAGTCAGTCAGTTGTACAGTAACTCTGCGAATTAACTGCCAATGATTCTCCACTGCGGATCGTTTCACTCTCTTTTTCGCTTCCTTCGCTATGTCTCTGATTATCTGTTCCGATGAACGATTGTACAAAATATATATATTGGGAAATCCATTCTCTTATACGACTTATTTAGTTCTGTTATTCACTAACGCGATCTAAGTCGATAATTACATACGAGGATTGACGATATGTATATCTCAATAGCAATCAGAAATGATCTCATGGAGTCAGATCCTGAGCCACTAAAGTGATATAGAAGTTTCAACAATTGTTGGATAGATATAAAATTTTTAGTGCATCGAAAGTACAGCGTATTTAGAACATTTATAGGCCAATCATGAAGACAGTTAAGAATGCGGAATACACCGGGAGTTGTAAATGTACTGTTGAAGGCTGTGTATGCGTAATATGTAAGTACTTCGTAACTTCTCGTAATAAATAGTACATAACTCTTTCCTATTGTTGTATTATACAGTTTATGTAAGAGAAAATTGTCATTTTGATTTATTATTTCCACAAGTAAACTCAACACCAGCCTACTGTTGGAGAGAGCAAACCACCTTTCAGCTGAATCGGAAATTAAGAAAAGACAATGGAGGCAAGACTCCAAGTTCGG